AGGGTGAAGTACATTGTACAGAACGATCAAAGAGCATTGAGGTTAGATCATATGGTGATGTAGAACGAAGTGAATTCATGCATTCATGCCATATGTAAGATATTCAACGCGATTCTAAACATATTTTTCCTGAACTATAACTATATGTCTATACATGCGCTGTAATGTGATATAGCGACTTTTTAATTACTGTCTTTCGGAGGGTCAAAAAAGTAAATACATACATGCATTCATTCCATTCCATGTTCCATTCCATTACATATTCTTAATGCTGCATAACTGTCTATCAAAGAGTCAAGAAAATTGAATGAATCCATGCATTAATGCCATTTATAAGCCGTTCCACATGATGATTAAGATATTTATCCTAAACTACTACTATATGTCTGTCCATATCCGTAATGTTCAATACTGATTCTTTGACTCTTTGATTACCGTCTATCTGAGGGTCAAGAAAATTGAATGCATAAACGCATTACTACCATTTATAAAGCATTCCACATAATGTTCAACATATTTACCCTAAAGTGGTATTATATCTGTAGATGTCCAGTAATATTAAATAATGACTTTCTGATAACTGTCTATGGAATGGTCCTAAAAGTTTGTAGTAGACAAAGAGAAAGATAGAAAATTAAATACAAGATAAATTTAAGTATATTTTATTCGGAGTGCCAATTAATACCAAGACTTTTTGTTAACAAAAATTTATATTTACAATTTGTAACTTAAGAGACTACCTAGTAGACGTCCAATATAACGAATACTTAATTTAACAATTGTTTTATAGAATATGCACGGATATCCATAATTTAACGAATATTGCTAGAAAAAAGTTCGAAAATGAAAAGAAGTCTCTCACAGAAGTAATATCTATGATTTTTAAAAAAATTTTGTGAAAAAATAAGGTTTCTATATAATTGTCTACAGAAAACAACATATATCACTCCAAAATTATGACTTAATAACAATTATAAATTGCTACCATGATATGGTTTAATATATTTATGGATTTCACGAATAAGTTCTTCAAGAAATCAATTCCTAAATTGAAACGTCTGCTATATTGAGTTCATCGCCTTTAATACATGCTATCTTTAAATCCTTTATAATATCACATATAAAATCTTCCACCTCATCATTTTCTCAACCTTCTTTCAATATTGTAATACACTTTACACAAAAAAATGTAAAAGGGATTTATTAGGTTTGTCAATATTCTTCTAACATATTGAAAAAAATGTGATAGACGCTATAAAGTATATGTGATCTTTGTTACCTCAATGAGTCTACTCATTTGTCGAATAAGCTGAAATCAGATCCTTATGTTCTGTAGCAAATTAAATTAAATATAGCATGTACTTACCTTCTGCTCAAAAAGTATCCGAATTTTGTTGTTTGTTAACTACTCCTTAAGTAATAGACCTTTTTTTTGTTATGTTAACATATGGTACAAATTTGAGCGCCATCTGTCAATTAGTTTGTTTATAGCAGCTGTTAATATGAGACTACCCCAAGTGCATTTAGCTATTTTTACTATGGAAAATTCTTGTTGTACGCGATTTTTTGACCAAACACGGCACCACTGTCATCGCTCAGGCACCATATTCGCCTGATTTGGATCCGTGCGACTTTTTCCTGTTCCCGAAATCCAAATTGCCGAAATCGGTAAAAGAGAATTCGCCGAAGGAACTAAAAGCCATACCTTCATAGGCCTACGAAAAGTGTATGGAAGATTGGGTTAAGCGTTGGCATATGTGTATCGCTTCAGAAGGAGCATATTTTGAAGGATATAAAATAAATTTGGAATAAAATTTAAATTTGTGCGTTTTATTAACAAAATTCGGGTACTTTTTGAGCTGGAGGTATATACTCATATAAGTATTAAGATATAGTTACCATAGCTACCAATATGTCGTATCAGATACAGGTTTTTGTTAGAAAAACTTTTTTATTTACTATGTATGTATTTTAAATTTGGAATTGAAACAAAATTTATAAAATTCAAATTCATTTATTGAATGTGCCAAAATCGGACCATTTTATCCTATTATATGGCTACTATAGCTATAGTTACCAGATAAATTAAACAATCAGATATGAGTTTTTTCCGTTTTTAATAAACATATTTAAATGAAATTTGGTACAGAATGTACCTATATTCATATGAGACAATGTACATAATATTATTAATATCGGCTCAAATTTAGATATAGCTGCCATATAAAGAAGTGCAGTATAAGTAAATAAAATTTTTCGTTAGAAAAACTTTTTTGTGTTCGGTAAAGCTACAGCTAATATCTTTACTTGTTTTTCAATAAAATTCAATACATTTCTCGGAAAAATTTTAACTACACAAGTAACTAATTATAACACCTATCGTCATTGTTAGATCTGCAAACTCGATTTCATCTCACCCACCAAAAGTAAATAAAATAAGTATGAAAAATTCTCTGAAATGTAAATAATTTTAAATAATAGTTTTCTAACATGTACGTATGCAATGATATAAATGTAAATAGACTTGAAAAAAACTAAATTTGAGTCTTATTCAAATCTCGAATAATATAGTACTATATATATACATATGTACTCGTATATGCTTTAATCATACAAATTTTAACACTTAAATGAAATATAACAAATATGTTTCTGAAGACGTGAGATACATTTGTATGTGCCTATTGCTTTTTGTCAAGGTCTTTGCGAATATTTTGCACCCATTTAAACTTTTGTACATCAATAATAAATTTAAATAATTGTTTAGATTGAATTAAGAATAAAATCAATGTTATTTGAGAACTATTAAAATATCATTAAATGTGTCAATAAACATAATTTTTGAATTTAAAAAATGTACGAAAGTATTCAAGGACAGTAATTGAATTAATATCTAATATATGCTTGGAATATATGTATATTTATTAAAAACATCAATTATCTCATTAAAAAAAATTATTAAGTAAGAAAAATATATTGATTTTTTTTTTTTGCGTTCCTTTAAGAAATGTATTTTGTATTGTAGAGAATGTAATTATCATTACAAGTAAAATATTTTCTTTTTCAAAAGTTTTTTTACCAGAAAATGTATCTATATGTTGTATTTATTGCAAAACATCGATATAAAATAGTTTTAAGCAACTCAACAGTTTAGATTGTCTCCTTTTTTATATATATTTCTTTCTCTTCTTCTTCCTTTTCTCTTTCCCTTCTTCTTCTCTTGTTCAGCCTCTTCTTTTTTCTTTTCTCTTTCTTCGTTTTTTCTTCTTCCTTTCACTTTTCTTTTGAGTTAGGTTAGGTTTGGTCATACTGGCGATCTAATGGGGATCCACCTAGAACTATTAGCATATTGTGTTACCGTATAATTGAAAGATTCAGAATTTAAAAGCGCTTGTTACCTTTGGCGAAGCTTAAAATGCTTTTTAGTGCAGATCTGTATCTTTTAGTTGATCCAGATCCTCAAAGACGGGCCACCTAAAGTGTTTAGTGTTACATTTAAGTTAGTTGGTTCAAAATTTCTTCGAGCTTTGCTCTCTCATAAAGTATTTTTTTATATATAAATATCTTATAGAATTTATTTATCCATTTCAATAGTTGCCAATCATTTTCAATATCTAATGAGTCGTGTATATCGTGTATATAAACTCATGTAAGTCGTGTTCCATCATAGTCTTCGGAATATATTTTATAAATAAATGTCACAATGGTAGGTACCTCCAATAATGAATTTACGCAGTTATTTTTGTATAATTATTTATAAGATATTGTGTACGCCTGCTGAACTAAGGGTTTAAATGATTATTTGTAAATATTATTTATAATTTTTTAATATGAGTGTATGTAATAGGTAATATGTTTTTAATTGGTACTTTCATGGGGTGTTTTTATATAGAAATTTGATTTCTACTCTTTAAAATATGAAATGCTCACAGAGAATGTCACACCTTTAAACCTTTTTTGAAGCTTATTTCTGTAATGTATTCTGTGATGTCTTCCAATATAAGTTGATAGTTTAAACATTATCAACAGAGATAATAATTTCAACGTAAAAAGCCTGTTATAAGTTTTAAATTGACAAACTTTATTATAAATTATTTTCCATATTCATTATTACTTAATATTAATAAAAATAATAATAACAATTTTATTTATAAAATCAAAAATTCTCAACATTATATACTAAAGTAATTAAATCAGGCATTAATATTACAGAGTGGAATTAATGGTAGATATTTTTATGCAATGACAGAAATAAATTGCCGATTTATTTAAAATACTTTATATGTATTACATTTGTTAACAAATGTTAAAATGCTAGATAATCGTCATAAAAAAGGGGATTAGAAAATATATCAAGAAAAAGTGCCAGCTAATAGCACTACAAAATAAAATAATGATTCTACAGAAATGATAGCTCACAGCATTAAAAAGTAGAAGAATAAATCCACAAAAGTGCTAACAAACAGCGTTTAGAAATAGAATAATACATTTACAAATGTGCTAATAGCACAAAACGTCATTTGCAATGTTAAAAAAATTAAGAATGGAGAATAAGCTATAGGCTTATATATATTACATAATATACATAATACATATAAACTGTTATATTACATTATATTATATAATACGTAATATACTACATTGTAGTTTTGGTATATACCATGATTCTGATCAAACTGTGTACATAGTGTACATTTGTCCTTTAAACTATTAAATCATTGTTAATAAATTTTTTTATATATTAAATTGAAATTTAATTTTTAATATAAACTTATATACCAAACTTTACTACACTAGCAAAATATTAATTTATAATTCAATGCTTTTTCCTTTACCTAAGTTACTTACAGATATACTTAATTAAGTCAATAATTAATATTTAATACGTTCACATTTTTTATACTAGTATATATGTACGTACTTATATGAATAATTTAAATTTATTTTTATAATAAAACCTGTTTTTTTATTTAATTTGTTTATTTATCTTTTGTTTGCAGTTTGAGTTATGGCGTCTTGACTAAAGTAGTGAACAGCCAGCCGCAACATGACTCAAGCCAGTAAAGAATTTGCAACCCAGACGGCAACAAGAACGACAACCGCAACAACCTCAGAAACAACTCCAACTACGAAACAAAATTGTGACATACTTTTAAACAATTTCCAAATCAAGAAGAAACAATATCGCGTACTGCTGAATAATGATCACATTGTTTGGGAACGTTTGGATGCCAATCGCAGTAGTGCCGGTACCAATGAAAAGATTACGAAGAAAGGTAATTTCACATTAACAATTTTTTCTTTTTCAAATCATTTATATTCCATTAACTTGAGAGAGAGGTAATAAAACCTTTCCTTATACCAAAATAAATTGCTTTTATTTTAATGAGATGAAAAATAATGGAGGTGATCGTGCAGTTGTTAATTTAAAGTGAAAGAATGCATTCACTGATCATTTGCGTTCACTCAAAACACTGTCATTCTTTTTGATTTATGATTTATATGTTATTAACCCATAAATATTTTATTTTTTTCTTTTAAATGAACAAACATCATTTAATTTTAATGACTTTTTTTCCTTATTTCTATTAAATGACTAGTTTTAGTCGTTACTAAGCTATTGGTACTTTCAAGCTGAGTCTTGTATCATAATAAAAGGCATTTATTATAATCAATGACATTTATTAAAATAAGAATTGCAATTAACGTAATAACTCTGTTATTGCAGTCGAACCAGAATACTAGATTTAACATATTTAAAAATGCAAACTTATACTTGAATATTGCAATACATAAATTAGTCTATGAAATGGATGGGACCCTGTAGTACCCCCAGCTATCAAAGAGTAAAAGTTCCCAGTTGCGCTGACTCGAAAAAAGAATCAACATATATATGTTCAGTGAGATTATTAAATAAAACAATTTGCTTGTGTTTCTAATAAACAAACCAAAATTAGATTCAACTTTATTTATTGTAATAAATCGAAGTGAATATTTTGAACAATTAGGTGATCCAATTTGCTGAGGCATTAAATGATAGTATGGTTTCAGGGTGCATTTTTTGCTAAAAATAAACTTAAGTAATATTTGTAGAAGTAATATACTTATATCTAGAAGAGAAATTTATATAGACCGATATCTGCGCCAGAATATTAAAGTTTCTGATTTTAGTACACACTTTATTATTCAATTTCTAACAGCATAATTCTAAGTTACATCACAGCTAGGACATATATTAGATTAACTAATGTTGAAACGTTTTTGTAAGTACAGCATATTGGTGACTCTTAAAAGTTATGCAATGTGATCTCCCATAGTAATATTCTAATGTATTAACCATAGATCGATTACTAATGCCCAAAGTACTGCAAATGTCTGGTCAATGGTGGATTTGCCAGGCCTCAAATCACACTAAGGTTTAATTAGTGTAAATCGTTGGATTGCCTTTCTTATTTACAACACAGAGAACATTTAACTTCCAATCAATGGGCGTGCTCTGATGCGACCATATTTTGTAGAGAAGAGAAGGAGTGTTCTCTCTCGTTTTCTACTTTAAACCATTTTGCTGGTAATCTACTAACTTCTGCCTTTTTGTTGCTTGTAAGCTGTTAAACTACTGTGACATTTAGTGTCATAAGTTATTGTGAGACGATGACGATAATTCCATCATCGTTATTTGTTTCTTCAAGTTCACTGATTTCGTTAATAATAGTTTTTTCGTTATTAAAAAGTTTTAAGCGTCTACTACTAGTATCCGGTCATTTTTTTTTTGGAATGAAAGGCTGACGTTTTAAAATCTTTCTAAACATGCTTAATTTTTTGTTCGAAATCTGAAAAATACTGGCTCTGTACATTGCATCTATATCTATTTCTGCATCTGCAGCGTGACATTCATTATCATACCAGATGAGAGACGTGTTTTTTTACTAAGTATTTATACCATAAAAATAAGGATCGCCTGTCTAAGTAGTTCTGATAATTGTTAAGGAAAGTCACAAATTAACTTTTGCGATTGCAATTTATTAATGCCTTGGATGAAACGCATGATTATAACGTCGTAGGTATTTAGACGAAACCACGAAGAGATTATGTGTCAACTTGACTTTAGTTGGAACAAGGATAATACTTTCTGTAATAAAGTTCAGCGTTGTCAGAAATTTTTGTGGCAAATATGAATCGTACTGTACACCGCGGGATTATTCTTTAGATATCAACATAATCTCTGTTAGAAATGGCTTAGTCCTGTTGCAAAGGTACTTGAACTCGGAAGATACTTGTTGATAACATATCATCTATTAAGTCATTTTTGTTTGTTAGGTAATACTTAATAATAACTTCTTAATAATATTTTTAATTCTGTAAATAATATTTAATTAAAACAGGTTGTTTTTTTAATATTAATTTTACATATTTTCTATCTTTATAGAACTTGAATTCGAAACAGAGCAGCTCTCCAATAGAGCCGCGAATGCTGCAAAATATGGTAGCACCAGTAAATTAATACATATAAACGAAGTAATTCACGTTGCGAAGGGTAATACAAAATCAGCAACATGTCGTCGTGTTACACAGGCCACAAGCGATTTTAATACAACGATATCTAGCAACATCGAGCAACAGCGCCAACAACATGCCAACCAATCAACTTCAGCACCCACTGAGCAATATTTGACCATACACTATGCCGAGCGGATTAACAAATCACCAATCGACTGCAATCGCTGGCACATACGCGCACTCACGCTCTACAACTCGGATCCGTACGTGGTAAGACAATGGCACGCGTTACTACAAAAAATACTTAATAACTCCACGCGTTTGCGTGTACAACGTTTGTTGGTTTTCATCAATCCGTTCGGTGGGCGCAAGCAGGGTCTACAAATGTATGAGCGGTATTGTAAGCCTGTCTTTGAGCTCGCTGGTGTGGATGCATCGTGCATAATATCACAGCGTGCAAATCAAATACGTGATATACTTATGAGTCATGACCTAGGTTTGTTCGATGCAGTTTGTTGTGTTGGCGGTGATGGTACCGTAGCCGAAGTTATCAATGGTTTGGTGTTTCGTGCAATGCGTGATTTAGGCATAGATGCTATACGTCCTGCTTATATACCTAAGCCTGCGTTACCGGTCGGTATAATACCAGCAGGCAGTACTGATACTGTGGCGTACAGTTTGCACGGTACTTCAGATGTGCGAACTGCAGCTATACATGTGATATTAGGTCAACGTCGTGGTTTAGATATTTGTAGTGTACGCAATCGACAAGGAATTGTTCGGTTTTGTGCCAGTGCCTTTTCTTATGGCTATTTGGGTGATGTGGCGGCTAAAAGTGAAAGATATCGTTGGATGGGTACAAAACGCTATGAATTCACTGGTGTAAAATCATTTCTGCTTAATCGCGGTTATGAGGCCGAAATACGTATGTTGCTGGAAAGTGAAGAAGATGTGAATAGTAGGAACATGCGTGCTAGTATTCAGACTATAAATACCGCAGAACCTACTTCGACAACAGATTCTATTTGTTATGCTCACTGTCAACGTTGTAGCATTGCGCCTTCAGTTCAACCTGACGATGCACTTTCTTATAAATTGTTGAAATCCACAACAAGTGTAACTGATGGTGATATCGATAATCAAACTATAGATGATATGATGCCCCGTTCATCAAATATATCACTAAATGCTCAATTAAATGAAACTAAACTGCAAAACGATCAAACTGATAAGTGCATAAATTTTAATATGGAAGACTGTGATAAAAATATCGAAACTGAAAACCGAATTGAGGAATTGCTGAGTGTAACTAAATTAGAAGATGTGCAATTAAGAACTGAATTTAAACCTAATCAACAAGAAGAAGATCTTAAACAAAACTTAAAAGCAGACTCTACTTATGAAGCGCAAAGTATTCTCACAACCTCAAATAATTCCTTAAACAACAATTCTGTTAGTAGACTGCGAAATAGTCAAATACGAGCAGAAAATTGGAAAATTGTGAAGGGTCAATTTTTTATGATAACGGGTGCTAATATTACTTGCGCATGTACACGTAGTCCTAATGGTGTTTCCCGATACAGTCATCTGGGAGATGGCACCTTAGATCTGGTTTTGGTACGAAAGACTTCGTTAATTAGTAATGTTCGTCTAGTTTTAAATATGATGGGGCGCACTGGCGATATTGTAAGTTTAGAAGTACATCTTAGTAGTGTTGTATATTAAAGTATTATTTTATATCATACCAAATATGTGACTTTATGTATAATTATTTGATATGGGATATGGCACTGCGACCATCGGGTCTATTGTGCCCCCTTCTGGGCTTAGAGTATATCTCCAAGCCCTGTTGCTTTGATAATATATATATTCAAAATATTTTATACATTAAAATCTTGCAAGTGTAACTGATTTATATATCAGTATTCTTATTTGGTATTTTTAAATTATTGTATATCTTCTTATTTACGTTTAATAATGCTTATATTTTGTATTAATAGAATTAAATTGAATAAATATTTTAATCAATAGCGTAACTTGCCGTTCGTTGAAGTTTACCGCACAAAGAAATTCTCATTCCGTACGCCAAATATGTTGACAGCTGATGATGAGTATAGTATCAGTGGATCTTGCCAACCGATAACGGCAACGGCGGAAATTGAAGATGATCCTAATGTATCAAGCTGGAACTGTGATGGTGAAGTTGTAACCGATCTTGATGTTACAATGATGTAAGTAATTATTTTTAATGATAATATTGTTGATTGATTATTTTATTTGTTATATTTAAAGTAGTGTTTTATAGTGTTCAAGCATTATTAAATTCGAAAAATTTAATTAAACTCGAATTCCAACTTTTGTGTCCAACACTTCAAATGTTTAACCTATTAATCTATAGTAATGAATCTACTCTATGTTTCATTCTATTTTCCATTTTTTTAAGACAGCAACCATATATGTAATATTATGTATGTCTCC